AAAACAAAAAACCAAAAAACGATTCCAGTGACTGAGTACAAGGAAATATTTTTTCACATGAAAAAAATGCATGTTTCATCAAGGGGCAGCGTATTCACTAGGATGTTGATTCATTACAGGTTAAGCTGTGAAATGTGAGGAAATGCTCATTAGCAATAAGCTAAGAGGCTTTGTGAGGAGACTCTACCACCCCAGTTTTGTTCAGGGCTGTGATTTTAAGCAATGATTTTCTATCTTGAGTTTGCTGAAATTGAGATTGGACTAGGTCATGCCTCAGGGGTAGACATGACAGAAACAGAATATTTAAAATGGAATTGGGAAACAGTACTTCAGGTGGAATTCCAGGGTTGAGTAAGCAGATACTAAAGCCAGGGTTTCTTTCTTTTGAAGTAGGCAACTCATGTAATACAGTTTGCACAACTTTTTCTAAGGAATGACTTACCTTTTCTTACTTTATCAAGTCCAAACACCCCCTTGACTTTGGAGATCTTACATAACCCCTTCCTGCCTGTCCACTCTGATTTTCTAGTACATTAAACAGTGTACACTCCTTACGGCCGTGGGAATAATCCACTCATTCTCGCCAACCCTCCCTCAAGTGGTGACCTTTATCCTTGCCCCTCCTTCCTAAAAGCTATTTTCAAGGCCTTCTCAAGCAATCTTCTTTGATTACTTTGCCCTTATCCATCTTCCTCTTCTAGGATTTAGGACTTAGAAATTACCATCTACTCCTTGCTGTTTGGTGAGCACACATGTATATAAACATGTAGCTCATATATATGTAAAGTCATACAATACACAGTGTTTTTGATTGCTTTTGTGGATGGCACTCCCACTTAGATTTTTAGATTATTGTGGGTAGGGAGAAATGGAATAATGTATCTCTAATCTAATATGTAGTGGGTAATACAATCTAGAATTTTATGCTTAGGTTATACACTGAACTTGTCAGGGCTCTTAGTAACATGAAATACAGTCTTGAGCTTACTTTCATCCTGAGTATTTCCAGGTTTCTGTCCAGGATTGCTGTTTCAGTTAATAGTTCTGATTGTTTTAAAATCTAGACCTTCTCCTGTTTTGGCTTATATCCAGTGAATATAAGTCAGTGAATTTTGCATGTGATTTTAAGAAGCCCTAGGGTCAACTGGAGCAGAATAGCATAGAGCTTGTGAATCAGGTTGCCTGGAATGACTCTGCTCACACATCTGAGTGACCTGGCACAAGTTATTAAAATTAGTTGTACCTCAATTTCCTCATCTGTAAAATGAGGATGATAATAGTACATACTTCAAAAGGTTGCCGTGAGAGATGAAAGGAGATAATACGTATAAAGTGCTTAGTATAGAGTGTGACAAATAGTTAACACTCAGTAAATTCTGGTTATTATCATTGTTACTCTGAGCATGTGGATATGAGTGGACTGGTCTCATATGATTTAGTGGCATTCTGGCACCATTTCCATATAACAATATTTGGGAAGAATAGATTATTAATGGGTATGTGGAACAGTGGCATGTGTGTATATGGGTACCTGCAGGTTCTTTCCTATATAAGTCATATGAAGTTTGGACCTGAAAACTTTTTTTTTAGTTGATTTAAAATCAACTAAAATTCAGTAGTTTTTAGTATATTCACAGAGTTGAGCAACCATCTCCACTACCTAATTCCAGTGGGTTTCATCACCCCCCAAAAGAAACACCACATCCTTTTTTTTTTTTTTTTTTTTTTTTTTTTTAGACGTGTTTTTTTTTTTTTTTTTTTTTTTTTTTTTTTTTTGAGACGGAGTTTCGCTCTTGTTACCCAGGCTGGAGTGCAATGGCACGATCTCGGCTCACCGCAACCTCCGCCTCCTGGGTTCAGGCAATTCTCCTGCCTTAGCCTCCTGAGTAGCTGGGATTACAGGCACGCGCCACCATGCCCAGCTAATTTTTGTATTTTTAGTAGAGACGGGGTTTCACCATGTTGACCAGGATGGTCTCGATCTCTTGACCTTGTGATCCACCCACCTCGGCCTCCCAAAGTGCTGGGATTACAAGCATGAGCCACCGCGCCCGGCTGAAACACCACATCCTTTAGTGGTCGCTCTTCCCTCTCTCTCTGCCCCAACTCAGGCAACCACTAGTCTACTTTTCTACTCTCTAGATTTGTCTGTTCTGGACATTTTGTATAAGTGGCATTATGCAATATGTGGCCTTAGGCATCTGGCTTCTTTCACTTCACGGAACGGTGTCAAGTTCATTGCACTTTAGCATGTATTAGCACCTCATTCCTTTTTATGGCTGAATGTTTCATTGTATGGCTACATCACAGTTTGTTTATCCATTCATTAGTGGATTGACATTTGGATTGCTTCTATGTTTTGGCTATTATAAGTGCTGCTGTGAAATTCAGGTACATACAGATTTCTGTGTTGATGTATGTTTTCAGCTTCCTTGGGTAAATACCTAGGAGTGGAATTGCTGGATCGTATAGTAACACTATATCTAACTTTTTGAGGAACTGGCGTACTCTATCCAAAAATGACTGGTTTGAAATCTTTTTTTTTTTTTTTTTTTTGAGATGCAGTCTTGCTCTGTCACCCAGGCTGGAGTGCAATGGCACAATCTTGGCTCACTGTAAACTTCGCCTCTGAAGTTCAAGTGATTCTCCTCCCTCAGCCTCCTGAGTAGCTGGGATTACAGGCATGTGCCACCATACCCAGCTAATTTTTTTATTTTTAGTAGAGATGGGGTTTCACTGTGTCAGCCAGGCTGGTTTCGATATCCTGACCTCGTGATCCATCTGCCTTGGCTTACCAAAGTGCTGGGATTACAGGCATGAGCCACCATGCTCAGCCTGGTTTAAATCTTGATGTGGTAAATTCATGTGGGAAGATGGTCCAAATTATTTATTTTATTGAGAACATCATTCTTTATGTCATTTTTTTTCCATCTATAAAAAAAGTTTTGTTCAGACATCTTTTATTCTCAAACCAAATTCTTTACTGTTTACAAGAATGGTTTCCATGTTTTCACTCCCTAGGGCAATAGTACCTGGAAGAGGTGAGGTCAGGGAAGACATCTGTCACCTGTGTGCATGATCACCCCGGTCCTTTTCCAAAATGCACCAGGGACTCTTGTTCATTCAGGAAAAACAACGCTTGGTCCCAGCTCATTTGCCAGACTGCCAGTGCCACTGATGTTTTTGACCTTGGTCTTTTTTGCTTTTTCTGGAACCATGTCTCTGAGGGGGAATGCCTTTTCTTTTCTTTTTTGTTTTTTTGAGATGGAGTTTCACTCTTGTTGCCCAGGCTGGAGTGCAATGGCGCAATCTCAGCTCACTGCAACCTCTGCCTCCCAAGTGATTCTCCTGCCTCAGCCTCCCGAGTACCTAGGATTACAGGAATGCGTCACCATGCCTGGCTAATTTTTTGTACTTTTAGTAGAGATGGGGTTTCTCCATGTTGGTCAGGCTGGTCTTGAACTCTTGACTTCAGGTTATCCGCCTGCCTTCACCTCCCAAAGTGCTGGGATTACAGGCATGAGCCACTGTGCGTGGCCCACTTTTTCTGATTTGCATCTGTATTTCTCTCTGGCCTGCTAGTTTTCTTTCTTTCTTTTTTTTTCTTTCCCCTTTCTCTAAAAATCTTCTGAGGCTCCCCCCAACTAAAAATTCATCTTGCTGTGGTCCTGGCCTTCAACTCTTATTCTCTGTTGTTCTTTGTATAAGGCACAAATGTCTTTAAAGAATAGTAAACTATACCCCTGCCTCCTTCACCTTTGTTTTTTCTCCCCCCGCTTAGAATCACCTGATAAATTTGCTTAAAATGCAGCTTTTGGGACCCATCCTAAAGATTGAGACTCACTGGGTCTGGGATGGAGCCTGGAATTCTGCATTTCAGTAAACATGCCAGGTGGTCTTGCTGCAGGTGGTCTAGGAACACCCTTTGAGAAGCACAGCTCTAAATGCTGATGCTCAAGATGGGACTGAAGGATTGCAAACCCATTTGTGTAGCATCCACTTATTAAGTGAGTAGTTACTGGGCTCCTACTGTTTGCCAGGCAATGAAATCTGGTTTCTGCCCCCTGTATATTTTCATGAAAATTGCACTCTTGAAAGATACTCTCCTGAAAATTGCTCTCTTGAAAGAGAAAGAAATTGGATGTTCTTTTCTCAGCGTACATGGAATACCTCTGTGCAGACTATTCATCCTTTCTTTCTTTTTTTTTTTTGAGACGGAGTTTCGCTCTTGTTACCCAGGCTGGAGTGCAATGGCGCGATCTCGGCTCACCGCAACCTCCGCCTCCTGGGTTCAGGCAATTCTCCTGCCTCAGCCTCCTGAGTAGCTGGGATTACAGGCACGCACCACCATGCCCAGCTAATTTTTTGCATTTTTAGTAGAGACAGGGTTTCACCATGTTGACCAGGATGGTCTCGATCTCTTGACCTCGTGATCTACCCGCCTCGGCCTCCCATAGTGCTGGGATTACAGGC